AAAAAATAAACGCTCGGCTTTATGGTGAAAACCTTAAATCCCTCCAATCCTCTCCCACAAACGCATTTGAAAAAAGCGATTTCACCTTTTCCAACGCACCTACTAAAATCCTGACAGGAAAGAGAGAAACAGGGCGTCTATCTTTCACCTACAATTAAGCGACAACATATTAAAAGGGAACCACATCCAGCTGACAACCAACACAGCAAAAGAACGTTTCTTCTTTCTTACTCTACCGTAGTGGATAATCCTACTCAAGTGTAGGTAATCCGATCGATCGCGATCCCGATCAACATGGAATTCTCACGTACTGGTTTCCAAAGCAATTAGTTAATAATACCAACCCCCCCGACGGCCCTTCGTAACAGCATATATCACGAAACTCAAGTATCGATACTAATACCCGCAAATGAACCCAGGGTGTTGGGAATGCAACCAAGAAAAAATAACGGTACCTGCCTGTACGAGAGAGACTACCGGTAACAGACAACCTGTTACCCCATGATCAAAAAAAAAAAAAAAAAAAGAGTGTAACCTTTTTCCTTTTTGACTCCCGAACCCGAAAATCCCCCCACGGGGTTGCGGGGAAACCGGTGCAACAACCTCTGGATGTAAAAGAATGCAAACCAAGATTCCCGGCATGGTTACCCGTACACATGCGGAGGTACAGTACAGAACAGAACAATACAGCACAAGTATTCGTACTATGCTGCTCGTCAGATGAAACCTAGTTGCCTTGTGGGGTGACAACGTTCACGGTCGGGTGGTGCGAGGCTGACTGGTGATGGATGCGTGGGGCAAGGCAAGTAGGTTTGCCCATAGAAGGCGTGATAGAGGAGGAAGGCTTCGTCTGAGTCTTATGATATCCCACCTTCAGTATCGTGGGGTAATCAGCTGTGGGGCGTAGCCTTCTGCGCTATCCGCACGTGCTGGTACTGTACAGAAATCGGAGAGTCGTCAGGTTGTATGTAGCATGGACGGATTGAACAGGGTAATTTATATCATATCTCAGTCGGCACTCCTCCATCCAGATGAACGGCATAGTGCAGAGCCCCACCGCCGCGGATCGAGAGGTGAACCCCTCACCCTCCTAGACCTTGGCTCGAAGAACCCGAAGCGAGTATCATACATAAAACCATTCATCGAGTGACGATAGGTGAGTAGTACCTTTCTGTTATGCAGTAAAAATTTATTTCCTCTACCCACCGTAACTTACCTCATATGCTGATACTGAAAAAGGAAAAAAAAAAAGGAAAAAAAGTCACTGCCACCCCGGGGAGATAGATTGTAAGAGATATTGTGGCGCGGAAATCGGTATCATAGGTTGGCCTAGACCTCCTTTTTATCCCGTGACCTCGGTCCCCCGACTGCATGCATGCATGCATGCATACCTATCTAGGGGGGGTAATAAAAATAAAAAAAATAAAAAACACTCAAATCCTATATGAGGTTCGATTAATGAAATGCAGAAAGGTGGTGATTTACATACAATACAGGACAAGTAGCCCAACCTTCACGCCCTCACTCGCAAGCAAGAAGCCAGAAGCGACGCAGCTATGATACTATAATACGGTAGGGCTAGAAATCCACCAGTACTATACAATATCTGTCGCCCTGCTGCTGCTGCGCCTGCTTGCCCCGGATCAGTTGAGGCCAAAACTCTTGCACCAGGATGTACCGTGCTGTACAGTACTGTACGTATGCGTTATTGTAGATCAAGGGTCCTCACCACTTCACCTCGACTCGCCTCGCCTCGCCTACCCTACCCGGGTGCCTTTAGCCCGCCACACAAAACCTTGTCTTGGGAGGATTAGATCAGCATCATGAATGCGCACTCGATAAGTCTTGGCGCAGTGACTGGGGTAATATGGGGGAACCAATGGTGAGAAAGCCAAAAGTTCCACGAGCGGAGGGCGAGGGGATACGGTAGCTCTGCGTCAGATTACTCGCGGTCCCTTCCATTTGTATATCACGCTCGGGGTTTTTCGGTAGTGGTCGTCTGCACATACTTGTACTAGTACAGTACATACATACGCCCCAGTCATCGCGCCGCTATGCGGTCAAGCAATAATATATGGATGGGGGGGAATATCGGTACAGTAAGTTAAGGGCGGGCACCGAGCGAGTGAATAGTGACTGAGTGGTTGGGAGGAAAAAGCATTGAGGCTCTTTTTGTAAATCCTGGTCCGTGCGTTGTTGAAAAAGTGCGGGGAAGCAGGGTGGTGGTGGATGATGAGAGCTATATTAGGAAAAGGAAAGGAAAGGACAAGAAAAAAATAGAGTAAAAAAGTAACAAGCATGAGATTGTGCCTCTCTTTAACTCCTAAGGAAGGGATTGGCAGTTTGATAGTCGACACTTGGGTTGATTCTTAATTTTCCCTTCTTGTTTTTGGTTGTGCTGATCTACCGGTATGGCGGCATCAAGTTTTGAGGGGAAGGGAGGTCGCACTGGTACTGTACGATTCGATAAGGTAGGTTAGGTCTACAGGATTGCGTTATTGTATCGTAAGTCAGGCTTGATGAAAGGTCCGCGGCTAACTCACCGTAGTGTGGAGTAGAAAGAAAGTGTGCTGGCCATGTATGTATATATACCCGAGTATGTCTGTCGTGTGGAAGGGAGCGAACGAAAGGAAAAGAGGATCCCTATTACTCTAGATTAGCATGGTTTTACCAAAAAAAAAAAAAAAAAAAAAAAAAGGTCCGCGGAGATCCGAGGATTGCCTACGGTAACCTTTCGAGAGGGGCAGAAGGGGGGGGGGAATGAGGGGGAGGTGTTAGAGGGGTAAGCTAGAAAATAAGAATAAAAGTGTGGGAATGGGAAGGAGATGAGAGGTTTCAGATATTCTTCTAGAACATCTGAGCAACTAGTCACCCGTTCATGTTTTGGAAACTCGTGATTTGCGATATAGTATCATACTCGTACTTGTATGCGTGAGTACCGGTTTGGGAACGGAGCGGAGTTAGTTAGTCTCCCTTGTGATCCCAAGGAACTATCCATACAATTTGGCTAAGTTTGTGTACTGCACCGCACTTGTATAGTGGAGAAGGGACCCCTGCCTATCTTGTTCACCATTTCCTTGAAAAAGGCCACCTTTTTCCCAGCCTTGATTTTCCCCGGTTGAAAATGCTAGGATGGTGAGGATAGGGAAAGCGAAGCAAAAGTGTGGGGAAAAAAGATTCTGACGTACAATACAAAGCACTGTTTAGAAACGTGATCACTCTCCGGAGCTGCCTCCAAGAGGTGAGAATGGAAAGTAATTCCCAGTTGTATGTCAAGTGAAGTTACGGCCGGTAAGTGCTACATTGCACCATGGTACCAACTGCCATATCACAGATCATGCTCGTAGGCGTTCCAATAGTGCAGCGCGCGAAAGAAGAAAAACGTTGATATTACCCATCTAGTATCGCCATCACCACAGAATTGTCCCCTTCACATCCCGCACTACCTTACCATCCACTAACCCACAGGACTCTTCACCAACTTTACACAACAGTGGAGCCGGAGCACAACACAGCACACACACAGGACAAGACAAAAGAATATCGTAATATCCCTCATCTCGCAACCCAACCTATGACCACTCTCCCCCCCTCCTCCTCCTCCTTCTCCATCACCTCACCTCACCTCACCTCCTCAACCCTCAAATTCGAGAAGGTGGAAAAGAAAAATAAGTAAAGGTGGAAGAAATAAGAAATAAAAACTACCTCTCATAAAAGCGGCAATCCCATCCATCCATCCATCCCCACTCAACCCGCCAAAACTAAACCGCCCCTCATAGCCACCATAAATTCTGTCCATCAATCAATTGCCATGCCGTGCCGTGTTCCCACAATAACAAAGCATACACCGCACCCAAGGCAACCAAACAAAACACGAAACCACCACCGAGCCGATCCAATCCATCCATCCATCCAGCAATTTGGAAATTTGGCAATCCAGCAACCCCCATACGGTGCAACAGGAAACTACGCCAACCAGCCAAGGTTAAAAAAAGCAAGTGTGTAGTGAGTGAGTGCTCGTGCAGTCCGCAGGCAATATCCCTCCCTCCCTCTCACCCTCCTGCCTGCAATTTCATCTCTATCCACCATTTACACAATAGTTACCTCCGCACCCAAACGGCGTGTGCGAAATGGTTAGTAGGGTAGGGTAGACGGGCAGAGGCAGTAGCAGTATGAGCGGGAGAGAGAGAGGGGGCACGGGTACCGGCACCGTAGCACCGTATGATAAACTCGTAGCAGTAACCCCCCGTCCCCGCACCCAATTCAAGGGCCCAATGATAGAGTACCGGGAGGCTCTACCCCACACACAATGTAGATCATGACGCCAATGCCACGGGAGGGAAGGAGTTGGAGGTTGATTTTCAAGTACGCTACTGTACTGCGTAGTTAACTTCTAGGTTGGGTTGGGTGGGCTTGATGGATGGAATTGTATGGTCTAGGGAATGAATTAGTGGACGGAAAGCCAGCACGAAAATATAAAAAGTGATGAGTTAGTTGTGGTGGATATATACGGCAGTCCCGAAAAGGAAGTGTTTTTTTTTAAAAAAAAAGGAGGAAAAGAGAAAAAAGAGGGAGAAGAGTTGATGATAGGATGGAATAGCAAAAAAACGAACCGTAGCAAGCAAGCAAAGCCGAGGTTTTTTTTAAAATAATATATATATGATATATATACATACATGAGGAGTAGAGGGAGAACTACCACCTCAAACGGAACGAGAACCCGGAGCAAATATATATATATAAAACTTCCTCACGCCCTCTTTCTAAGCATAAATTTGTCGATAAGAGCAGAACAGGGGCTACTGTAAGCCACCAAATCGAGAAGGGAAGCTAGAAACTATCATAAAAAGGTGACAAAAGGAGGGGAAAGATAAGATGGTCATAGAAGATATACTCCAGGCGGCGCACAATGAACATGGTACTTTGTTGAATAAAACATCCATAATTTGCCAAGGTCAGCACAGCGACACTACAAGCAATGCCGGACATAAATAGGGCTGTGCGAGCAGGACAAATGATATTATCATCCAGAATTTTGTTTCATGGGAGGTCGTCAACGGATTCATAAAACGACATGGGCGAGAAGGGAGTAGACCAAGTCAAAAACAGGAAAAGAAAAAAAAGAAAACATAAGAATAACCCCCCCGCGCACTCCCGCCCTCTCCAACACCTTAAGAAGAAAGAATAACAGGACAAGCGATAAGGAAAAAGAAAAAAGGAATTGAATCCCATGTTGAGTCTCATTCCCCAGGTTTTGGTTTAGATGTGACACCAGTATCGATACAAAGGTTCTCCCATGGCCGCAGGAACATATATATAAGACGCTTGTTGCGAACCCGGGTGCCAGCCGGTTTCATCTCACCGAATTTTCCCCCCTTCGCCTCCCCTCCCTATGGCCTCGGTTGAAATTCCCCAAATTTGTTGCCGCAAGGAGTCATTATCCACCGATATTCCATTTCATTTCTCAAACACAAAGCACAAAAAGCATCTCATAGAATAGGGATTCCCGTCAGGATCAAAGATATGCAGATCCAACAATACCCATTTGAACCCCCATCACATTCTGTCTCCCCCTTAATTTGTTTTCCCCAAGCAAGAGAACTGCCTCAATTAAAACCTCTAGCAAAACGCACCGGACCCCGCTCAACCACCCTCCCCGCTCCCCACCATTTTCAAATCGATACCAACTTTTGAAGGCTGGCACCGATTTTCCTATAAGGATATCAAATTCGCGATCACTTCTTCTTCTGCTTTCTAGGAGGAGTAACAGGTCTGCCCGTCCCCATTCCACCGTAAACATACTTCTGCTTCTTCTCAGCAGGCTTCAGGATCTACATGTGCAGTTGTCAGCACCATATACAAAACCATAGACCCACAAAGATGTATCTAAAGTTTGAACGTGAACAAATTTCCCACGTACCTGAAACGAGCACAGCAGGCTCTCATCAACACTCATCATCGCACCAGCATTATCAAATTCACCACAGTAATTGGGTGCGGAGAATAAGGTGACAAGCTGTCTTTTGGAGAAGAATTCGTAACCGTCTTCAACGACCTGGTGAGCACGACAGATGAGGTCCATGTCATGCTTCTGCAAAAATCTCGAGACAACATCAGGGCCAAATGTGAAAGAGACACCACGATCATTTTCACTCCAGCCAGTGATATCCTTATCTGGGTCGGACCAAAGAAGATCGCAGAGTAAACCGCAATCAGGGATCTAAGAGAGAGCATGAGTCGATTTTTCGACAATAATGAATTGACGATGGGGAAGGGGCTGGTTACGTCAGTAGGCCTCATGACCCTACGAATTTGCTCCATAGAGTTGAGATCAGGGGAAAGGCCACCATGCATAGTGAAAATCTTCTCGTCGATGATAGCAGCAATCGGCAGACAGTTGAAACAATCCGTAAATGTCTTCCATAGCTTGATGTTATATCTCCTTTTACATTCATCATAGAAGCCGTATATACGGTTTATGGAGGCACATTCGTGGTTGCCACGAAGGATGAAGAAATTTTCCGGGTACTTAATTTTGTACGCCAGGAGGAGGCAGATAGTTTCGAGGGATTGTTTCCCTCGATCGACGTAATCGCCAAGGAACAGATAATTCGCCTCTGGAGGGAATCCACCGTATTCGAAAAGTCTAAGAAGGTCATAGTATTGTCCGTGAATATCTCCGCAAATCTAGTCAAGGACCTCATTAGTACACATTGGGACTCCCGATCACCGAAGAAACATTGCACATATACCCGGGCATTAATGATATCATACCTTGATTGGAGCCTCCAACTCCAGCAGGATTGGCTGCGATATAAATATTTCTCTGGCCTTAGTACATAAATAACGAATTTCGGCTTCCAACAATTGAACCTGTTTTCCAGGACGGCTGCCACGAACTTCCAGTAGCCTATCGATAATAGAGTCCAAATCGACTTCTGTTTGGTCCGCCATAGTGTTGTAAAGAGTGGAGGGGGAAGGGGGAGAAGAAAAGAGAAAAGGAAGAGGAAGAGAAAAGGAGAGGTGGAGAAAGAGAAATTTAGAGACGGCGAACAGAGACTAAGGGTGTTAGATGTGTCGACCTGAGCACGCGTTCACAGTTAGCTTACCTCCGCACGAAGGGTTCCCTCTTGAGAAGATGACCTAGGAGATGGAAGTGCAATCAAGGAATATTTACCGGAACGTAATAAATATTTTATACAATCAGAGCAAAATATCCTTTGATCCCTAAGCGCGATCCGGATCTTGCGCTTCGATGCAGCAACTGCTCACAACAAAAGAACAAAAAACCTTTTCAGCACACAAGGGGGTAGAAACAACAGCGAAAGATTTCTAGGAGTTGAAAGAAGGGAACAACCGAAGATCGAGAAAAATCTACTCGGCCTTCTTTCTGATTGCTAGGGGCGGTTTTTTTTTTTTTTTCTGCCTCTCTTCTCAAACTTTCCTCTAATCCGACTGATAAGAAACTGATTGTGATAGAAAAGTCAAGGCCCTGAGAAAAAGGTGTAGGACGGAACAGGGGGGTGGAGAAATATGATTCAGATGGGTGTCGGTAAGGTGTCTGGCCAGATGGACGGTCGAGGGCAAAAAATAGAATAGGGCTGTTGCGGTAGGTTGATGAGAAGGTTTATCGTAAGGACACGATAGAAGACGACGAGCGGGTCGAGAGGAGTTCTTAGGGCTAAGGCCGCAAGCAAAGAGCTATGACAACGAGGGGCTGTCGTTTCTTCTCCTCCGTGAAGTGGAAGGATAGAGAGGCTCTAGACGAAGGGGTTACGGCAGAAATGGAGAATAGAGTGTAAGAGTGATATGATAGCGAAGTCAAGAGTTTAGGTTGAGAAGGGTTTGTGTCCAGAGGAAGAGGAGAGAATAAGAGGGAAAATCTGAAAGCAAAATAGTACGTAGCACAGGAGTTTCACTGGCCGTATCGCTCTCTGAGGTGGAGTTGTGCTGAAGGTGGTGGTGTTATTGTAATGTAGAGGTGGTGGTGTTGGGAGTGTGGACCAGGAGGATGGTGGTGTCTGAGGATGCGTGTGTGTGGATGGATTCTGGCTTTGCCGAAGTAGGGGCTAAGATACCGTAGATGGGGGGTGGGCGCGAGAAAGGAAGAGGGAAAAGGAATAAGTTATGGAAGGAGCACGGTATTGTAGAATAGAACGGCACTGGGAGAGAATAAAAATAAAAGGCCAGACAAGGAAAAGAGGAGTGAGGAAAAAAAAAAAAAATAAGAGAGGAAAGGTATCATATTATTAAAAAATGTGCTGTATGGTATGTAGGCAGACCTTTTGCTGCAGCGTTCGCCAGCGTCAAGAGAGAGACAGCCAAACCCAGTCAACTACATAATTCCCCCCGTACCGTACTTGTGAGACTCCCATTTTGTCCCTCCTCACTCCCTTCCAACTTTCTTTCCCTCTCACTCCTCCCTTGCATTCACCGATGATTCTACTTCCTTTTTCCTGAAAGCTGCATAGGATTGATACTTTCCGTTGCCACAACTCCTCCATTTTATTGTGTGCGGATAAACTGAACACCACCTACCGTAGGTGGGAATCAATCAACTACGGAATACTACAGACGTTGCCGTTTGTTTCGGAATCTCTGTATAAACCTCCTACGAGTGGAAAAGAAGGAAAAAAATGGAATGCGTACCTTTTCACACCCCCCACACCCAGTGGGTATGGATGGCTATATGATGGAAACTTCCTCAAACAATCGGCAATCAAAAGCGCGGGTTTGATCCGTGGTCATGGCTCAGATAGCCTCTTTTGTCCCTCGTTTCTTTTTTTGGAATGGGGTCAAGCCTGAGCGACGAGGAAGGCACCCAGTACGCTAGACGTTCTCAGACAAGCCTACAAGTACTCGTACAGTACAGCGCCGGTATGGCACCGATTGAGGAAGCAGATAAGGCACAATGCCCTTGCTAACCCTAAAAACAAAACCCGCGATTGATAACGGAGATATTTGTCTGTTGTTTCCAGTTACTATACGAGTGGAAGGTGGGAGAGAGGTGATTGTGGTACATCTGGAAATAAAACTACAATAACGACCTAACGAGGTTGTGATATGAATGAGGATCATACGTTCGGTGCTCTCCAATTCGTAAAGTATCCGGACATAAAAGTGCCAAGAACTGATGTTTTACGACCAAGTTCGATGATTTTGGCACTTTATTTCCGGATGCTTTACGGACTGGCAGGCAGGTGCTCGCTGTCCCTCAGAAGTACTTCCACATATACCGGGGTACCAGAATCTGGCCGGTGCTCAACATGCCGGGTCGGAAACAAAAAAATTGGCGGATAGGATAGGATTGCCAACAAGAAATCTAAACGGGGTAGTGTGATTGCGCAAGGGGGCGGTAGAGTTGAGAAGTGGGAGTAGGAGAAGGGAGCTCGTTGAAGCGCAAAGCGCAGGAAAGAGCACTGGGTAAAAGTGATGAACGGCATTACGCTGTACGTATAGTACAGTACCGTACTCACCGGTACACAAGGGTGCATACGCATACGCATAGATCCTGTGTGATTCTACACATTTTATAAGTATATGTGCAGTACAAAGGACTACTAGGCTCCTCGTCCCGACATTCTCACTATCGCTCTCCACTCCTGAAGTTTGGCGTACAGCACGGCAGCCGCGGATCCACTGGCTCACGAGTAACCTCCGTAGCGAGGTGAAACCGACGTGAGGACAAGGTGGAGGGAGCAGCTGCTGCTATTGCAATACCACCAGTACGGTACCGTGCTTGCCTCTCCTTCGCTGACTTGCTGAGTGTGCTTTCAAAAGCTCACCCCCACACATTCCCGGACTATCTGAGTTTGGTATTCTGATGCGACAAAGTACTACGCACAGCAAAAAGAGGCATCTGCTAGTGGAAGAACCCCTGGTTTAACCGCTGAATCAGCAGCCTTTGAGTTGTTTTCTCACATTTCACCCTCAACTTTGATTCAACGATTCATATTCGCTTTGAGCCGCATCTTGTAATTTGCGGATATTTTCTGCAAAGGAGTTAAGCTTGCTCTGCTGGTAAGTTACCGGTAATACGGTCGTCGAGCACTTTTGCGGTGCGGCGCTCCAAAGTTAGTATCATACCCCAGACGACCCCAGCTGCCGACAGCATAGAAAGTCAAATCAAATATGGATATCGCGAAAGGGAATATCACTTGTTCCAATTCCATATTTCTAATACTCCAAACATCCAGCCGGGGATAAGAGGAATTCTGTTTTATCTATCACAGTAATCCTTTGGCCCTGTTTGGCGCACAGTAGGAACTGCGTTCTTCCAACCTTGACTGTGTTTTAGTTACAAATCTATTATAACGTTCCACTTTTTCCTTTTGTACCCCAACCCACAAGCCCTCTGCTGGATTCTTGTTTTCATCACAGCGGTCAGTGAGGTGGCTGCTTTTTTTTTGAACCCTCTCTGGCCGGGGGATACGAGTCTTAGGAAAAATCGAATTTGTATGATATCATACGAACGGATTTTCTCAATTTATGCCGGTATGGCGGTGCGCCAAACAAGGGTTTTACTTTTTCTTATTATTATTTCTTGTCGCCCCGCTACCCATAAGCCCTGCGAAGTCATCCGTAATAAATGTCCTGTGGTATGACACGGTGTCGGACACTGCAAATCGACACTCGTGTCAATCGTCTTCCGCTTATTAAGTGAACAATCACTTTGCTCTTTGGGCTAAATAGGTTGGCTACAACAAAGATCGGCTAATATGGCGCCATATTAGGCATATTAGTTGCCAAATTATTACCTGATACGGTTAGCTTGGGCTGGGTGAATTTGGCAGCTCTCATAGAAAGTACGAGAGCACTTTGAACAAATTAGTCCTGGCATGGCGAGTAAAAATTTCCTTGAGATTGTGGTTGTTGTGATAGGGGAGTTCGGGGGTGACCATGTAATATTAAATTATCAGGTTGGTCGGGTGTTGATTTGAATTGTTTGCATTGTCTGGTGTGAAGTTTTGCTGCGCCTTAGGAGGCTGGAAATGCACGAACAAACTGTACTGTATGGTCAGTACGGTACGCCACAGGTGAAAGGGAAGGGGGAAAAAAAAGGAGGGCAAGCCTCTTGCCTACGATAACCGATAACGTGCGGGCACTCACGGTACAGTACTTTGTATTGTATTGTATGATACCCCACCAAACATCGGTCGGTCGGCACCATTGAGGCTTCAAGTATTGAAACCCTTTTCATCTCTCTACCCCGAAACACCGAATTCCTGATTGAAACCGGAACCCAGCTACCTACCCCATCCTTTTTGTCGATATCACGGGGATATTTTAAACAAACATAATGGCCTCAACTCTTCGTCATTCCTCCCGTCTCGGGATCCGTACTGCTCGCTTCGTTCTTCCAAGGGGTCGAAATGCATACGCAACGGTTGCCCCCTTTTTCAGCAATGAACCAATTCAGCCTTCAGTGATGACACCAATCCCTGGACCTGTTTCCAGGAAAGCGATCGAAGAATTGGATTCTGTGTTCGACACCAGGAGCTTGAACATGATATGTGATTATAAGAAGAGTGTTGGGAATTATCTTGTTGACATGGATGGCAACGTGAGCTTGCCGATCCCTGGGAACACTGTGATATAAGGTTCAACTACGTTCGCTGACAGGAAACACTAATGCCAAATAGACCCTACTCGACGTGTTAGTTGTGCATTGCATTGAATCCAATTCATCTCGCTTTTTCCCGATTAACTCAGCTAACTGGTAATTTCTTAATTGGTTTAGGTATTCTCAGATTGCTTCAATCCCAGTTGGCTACAATAACCCTCGTCTCATTGCAGCTATGTCTTCCAAAGAGGCTGTCGATGCTCTCGTAAATAGGCCTGCTCTTGGTGGCTTTCCTCCCGCATATTGGGCTTCTCTCCTGAAGACTGGAATACTTGCGGTTGCACCGAAGGGTTTGGATCAGGTATTCACTGCCATGGCTGGATCTGATGCAATTGAAACCTCTTACAAGGCTGCATTCATTTACAGACGTCGTATAGAACGTGGCGAAGGTGTGGATTTTACTCCCCAAGAGATTGAGAGTGTCATGAAAAATCAAGCTCCCGGGTCTCCCGAGTTGACAATCATGAGCTTCAAGAAGGCTTTCCATGGTCGGTTGTTTGGAAGTTTAAGCACTACCAGGAGCAAGCCAGTTCATAAGCTCGACATCCCTTCTTTCGATTGGCCTCAAGCTTCGTTCCCTCGGTTGGAATACCCCTTGGAGGATAATATCGAAGCAAACAAAAAGGAGGAAGAGAGATGTCTAGCAGAAGTCGAAGATAGGATTTGTTCTTGGCCAATTGCTGCTGTTGTCGTTGAGCCCATCCAATCTGAGGGTGGTGACAATCACGCATCTCCGGCCTTTTTCCAGGGCCTTCGGGACCTGACGAAGAAAAAGGGCGTTTTGCTTATTGTCGATGAGGTTCAGACTGGTGTTGGAGCGACCGGCAAGTTCTGGGCTCATGAGCACTGGAATCTCGAGTCTCCGCCAGATATGGTCACTTTTTCCAAGAAGGCTCAGACCGCGGGTTACTACTTTGGCAATCCTTTGTTGAGACCGAATTTGCCATATCGCCAGTTCAATACCTGGATGGGAGATCCTGTTAGAGCGATTCTTTTTCGGGCCATTATTCAAGAAATTGCGAAGCATGACTTGATTAAAAATACGGTTAGTCCTTTCCCCTATATTCTTCGTGGTGAGCGGTCCTTGGTTAACCGCCTTCAATGGGCAACTTAGGCCGAAACCGGTGATTACCTCTATAGAGAGCTTGAGAAGCTTGCCTCCAGTTTCCCAGAAAGGGTCCAAAATCTCCGTGGAAAGGATCGTGGAACCTTCATTGCGTTCGATACGCCTGAGAGGGACGCCCTCCTGAAGAAAATGAAGACTTTCGGGGTTAATATCGGTGGTTCCGGAGAGACCGCTGTGAGACTTCGACCTATGCTCGTCTTTCAAAAGCACCATGGTTAGTTTTCATGGTTCTTTCATACTTTGCGTTGGCCGCATACTCACAAGAATTTTTTTGGCTTAGCATCAATTTTGCTCGAGAAGCTAGAATTGGCGCTCAGGGAGAGTTGAGTATTGAATCCGTAAGTCTTTTTCATCAGTGGAAAACCTCCATAATTAGCTCGGGATGCGGTCGTTGGGCGTGTATGTAGCACTTTAGTTCTCCCTCAGGGTTCGCTGTCTCAGATAAATTGTCTCCGTACTCGCATAGGCCATTAGCGCGAGTACGAGTAGATTGGATTAGGGAGCGGTGATACATCCTTCACGCAACGATTTCGGAGAAAATACTTCATCCACGATCACTCGTACATCTCCCCCGTGATGAGCCGGTGGCACCCCGACATCACAAATATCTGCTGCCTGCCAGCGGGAATGCGATATCCCATATCCTGCATTCTTAGCGACTCGTCCATGTTTTTTCACTTTGCGAGGTCCAGTTCATGCAGGCTTCTCCTCGGTTCTCAGTGTTTCGAAGACCCCTGAAAAATCAATTCCTCCTCTGTTGACGAAGAAAGGTGATACGGTATGCAGGGGCGATGCCACCGTAAAATATAACGACATTGAAATCCCCCCCCAGCCCAATTTGTGTGTGGTTACCCAAAAGGTGCAAATAGCATGATACCACAAGGTCAATTGTGTCACCCATTGCCGGTTGCCAGCAGTTTGAAAAAGTATCACACCGTCATTCCCCCAGGCTTCTGTCTTTCTCCGACGAAGAATCTGTCCTCTAAGAGTGCACTGGCCTCTTATAGTGAATGCTACAAATCTTCACAATCTCGATATGTCGATTTTGGGTCGATCATTCTTTACCGGGGCTAGGGGTTAGGGGTGTGGCCTGTACGAGTACTGGACTCAGTACCGGTATCATACTCGAGTACCGGTAGCGGTTTATGGTGGGGTGGGCAGGGGGATGGGAGGAAGGGAAGGTGGCTGCATCCTTCGTGAAGAAGAAGAAAAAAAAAGAAACTCTACATATCGGTAATATCATAGCATAAACTCTTCTCTAATTGGCAGCTTGTTTTTGTTTTTTTAGTTTGTTTTTGTTTTTTTTCATCAACCCCTTTTACCGGTATTTTTATTTTTGTCTGTTTTGGTTGCACTGTGGCTACTTACATAACTGTGCATACGGTAGACTAGTCTATCAACTACCGGACGAGCACACCGTTAACCCAAGCCCAGCGTAGTGGAAATCCTGCAGATAGGACCTCCTGCCCCACCGGCTAAATGGCAAATTATGTGAGCTGCTTTTATCATACAAGTGAGCTCCTCCTCCCTCCTCTCCTCTTCGGTGTACTCGTATTTTGCAAAGAAAATAAAAAGGGTCTTCACATTCCACTACGGCACTGGTACCATATCATCGCCGCAGAAGTTGCCTTCGTGGAGTCTAATGTTGTGGGCTATTGTGACTGGCTGTGCTGTGGGGGTGAGCATTGTGTGGTTTAACAGGAGGAGTTAATGCCGTACGATACGAAGCCCCTTCTCCTCATCCTGATGTTTATTATCCCGAGCTGGGGTTGTCAATTTGTTCCGTCACCCGGAGGAACAGTTTTACATGGCAATGCCACGGTATTACGTGATCTGGCGGGTACGGCAGTATCATGTAGTGCTGTGCGGTAGCCTAAAGTGGTGGTCTTGGTTGCAGGGAGGCATGAGAGAGAAGGCGTTCTCGGGTGGACGTGATGTACCGGTAGGAGGTATATTGATTCGAAGTGGGTGTTTTGTTATTTTTGTTTCTATGATATTTTCTGATATTTGTGGTGGTGGTGGTTCATTAATCTGTTATCATATATCTGAGTATCGGTATTAAGCTACGATACGTGCACCATTTTCGGTGGGGTTGACCTGGGGTTTGTGCTTGTTCTAGACCCTTTTTTTTTCTTCTTTCGGTTTTGATTCTGCTCACTGGAGCGCTATACATATACGATACGGTACCGGTAATGTGAGTCAGTTCGGAGAAAAGAAGACTGATGAGTTGGAAATTTTCCCTTTTTCCTTTCTTTTTCTCGATCACACTCTTCCCTTTGGTTACCGTTCTGTTGGTGTTAAATTCAGACTACGAGTACACTCTTATCGGACATCAGCACATTAGCATAAGTACTGTGCTGTATCTATAGATATCATCCGTATGTATTGTATGGGCACGTCTCGAGTCGAGTTGGTTATCTGTCCGTCTATTCGCCACCCATCCATATCCGTCCCGTTCTTGTGTCGAGTGTATATGCCTGTCCTCCCGGGAGTGGATAGGTATTTGTATGTTCCGTGCTTATCGACCGACCGACCAACCTACCATACAAGTATCAACTCTGCAAAGTATCGGCCCTGCAGAGTACAGTACATATATGTACCATTCATACAGTAGAGGCACCAATAGTCTACATGGCAAACCACCCGCCACAACGCCAGCCAGCCAGCCAGCCAGCCAGCCAGGGGCAAATGCAGCGCAACCCCTCCCTACCTCCCTCCCACCCCCAAACTGTTACGAGTTACCCATACCCCCCTTCCCAGTTTCACCATGCCGGGAATTGACGATATCAAGGAGATAAGGAAGGAATGCGGCGCATAAAAAAAGAAAGAAAGAAAAAAGCCCCCCCCCCGAAAAAGGGGGAAGGGGGGAAACGATACGGGTATTATTAGGTTGGACCGGATTGAATTGGAATTTGGGGTTAGGTGATGGATGGATGGAACTGTCTGTTCCCGTGGGTTCTGCGGGAACACGGCGGCAGCGGAACGCGGAATCAGTGGGGTGGGTGAGGGTAGGTACGAGTATTGTAGATATCTCTGTGCGTTGCGCTGGCGCCATATCTATGATACCCTATTTTACTGCCTGCTAATGATACCGGTATCTAGACGATTTTAGTGGTTGGGGTGGGGGGGAGGTCCATCTGCTCTGGCGGGTTCGGTTGCTCTCTCTCTGTCTTGGAGATAGCATGCAGTAGCACATCACAACTTTAACACTGCTTGTATCATACCATAACTTACAGGTTTTGAAGTTGCGCAGTGCGGTAGGATATTCGAGTACTGTCCTCCGAGCCTCCAGCCACAACTATTATAACTAGATAGATAAGTGCTTGAGATAAATAAAAAAGAACACATGTCTGGATTCTACTGTATTCCCCTTGCCGTGCCATACATACAGACAGATGAACAAACAAGCGAGTGGGAAATGAACTGTGTGTGAAACTGCTTTTTCTTCTTTTCCAAATACCAGTGCCGGTACTCGTACTGTGACTTTTTACAATCGGAATTCCCCAGGTATCGTACAAAAAAAGGGCTAAACTGAATATAGAAATCTTACCAAGGCGCACGTGACCTTAAAAAACAAGGCCAAGTGAGCGAGCGAGTCTTGGCGTAAGGAAGAAGAGATGGAGATGAAGCGTGTCTTGATTGTTTGTCGCGCTTGCGTGGTTCCTGAGTTTTCCTTTTCCTTTTCCTTTCTTTCTTTTTCTTCTTCACATTACCTTGCCTGGAGCTTTTGACGAACGCACGACGACCCTATTACCTCAACCCTAACTTACCGACGGGCCCAATTTGACGTAACCAGAGCACAATAGGTCACACGTTGGGCACCTGACGATTGGCGAGGGACAAATCAAAGCCCGAACGGGGAGAAAGGGAGAAACGCGCCGACAGAGCTGGGATACAACCATGTCTTCCGAGGGGCGAAAGTCGGAAGAGAGGAGGGGAGATGCAGAGAATACCACTGGCGGTGGGGGCAAGACTGAGGTCTCTTCACAAACGAGTGCTTTCCAGGCTGCTGTTGCTGCTTGGAGAGGTTTGTTCTCCCTCCTGTTGCTTTCACCTCTCCCGAATGGGATGGGATGGGATGGGATGAGGTGGGGAAGCTAATGAGGGGATGGGAGGAGGGGGAGGAGGGTAGATATCGATCTCACAACGCTGCAAAAGAGCCTTGACACTACTGCTGCGGAAATCGTTGGTTCGCAAAAGGATGGGCTTATTCAGCGGAAAGAGCTGGCGCAGAAGACGAAGGAGTACAGGAAGCTTGATGAGGAGGCTAGAAAGGAGGAGTGGAAGGGGTTATTGAAATGTTTGCCCTTTTTACTACACCCCTTCCCCACCATGATGGATGGATAAGTGCGGTTTACTGATGATTATGGATGGGTTAGCATATCAAATGTTCATCGACCATTTGAGCACTTCCAAAAAGGCCACCGAGAACTCCTTCCTCTCGGTCTACTCCTCCCTCTCCGAAGCTCCTGACCCATACCCGCTCCTCGAAGCCACGATCGATTCGTTACTCTCCCTGCCCGATATGCAATCCCTCAACCGCGAGAATTCTTCTTTAAACGTTACGGTCGCTCGGTTGTCCGGACAGGTATCCAATCTGGAAGCTTCAATCCATGCGAAGAACAAGGAGCTTGAGAAGAGAGAGAAGGAGCGGGAGGAAGAGGTCAAGAAGACCGAAGAGGTCTGGAGAGGAGTTCTCGACGAGAAGACGAGGAATTGGGAGGGGAAAGAGAAGGCGCTGATGGAGAAGTTGCGACATCAGGAGAGTGTGCTTAAGGAGATTAAGGCGAGCTATGAGGTTGCGCAGCGCATGGGAGGCTCTGGTGGGAGAGGCGCCGGTGGCGAAGAGGATATGCTTGTCAAGGAGCGCACGGCAGAGTTGGAACTTGTCTCTAGTGATCTTGAGAGGACTACACTACGGTTGGCGGAGGTGGAGGCTAGAAATGAACAATTGAGGGCTGAGCTGGCTAGTGCGAAGGATGGGATTATGGGTGAAGTGGAGGAGAAGAAGGATGAGGAGGATCCTGTCATCGCGCGTCTCCAAGATCAGAACTCGGATTTGCTTAGGAAGGTGGAGAATGCTCGTTCTGATAGTGAGGGTCTGAAGAGAGAGTGGGAACGGAAGACTAGGACCTTGGAGCGCACAGTTGAAGCCCTCAAGAGGGATAAGGATGCACTCAAGGAGAAGGTGAACAGATGGGGAGATTATGAGGAGGTGCGGAGAGAATTGGAGATTTTGAAGGTTTGTCTCATGTTTCTCGGACACCCCCGGACTCGAAACTTCAGCTCATATGACGTAGTCTATTGAATTCTCGACTGGAGACGGCGGAGAGGATGAAGATGAGGTGCTGGATTTCTCAAGGACAGGGACGGCAGACAATGGGAGCGCTATGAACGGTGGTAAAGTTAAGAGTGATAAGGAAGAAACCCTGGAGCAGCTTCTTCTAGCTCGTAATAAAAAACTCGGAAGTGACCTAACTCTCCTCCGAGTCTCCCATGACGAGCTCTCACAGCAACTCCGCACCCTCCAGCAGACTCTTGACTTGACTACTTCGGAGCTGTCTTCCTCCCGAGCTCTCAACCAAAAGCTCGAAGACGACCTGCTGAAATTCCAACAAGAAACCCAACACTCCTCTGCCATGTCCGTAGCGGGTATCTACGCCTCCCGGCACCCCACCCAATCCATCGCCCATGGTTCCCACACGGGTCGCACCCGGATATCTCCGGCCTCTTCGATAATCTCCGGTGCAATCCCCCATGCGTCCTCCTCCACTCAACTATCACTCGAATCCCTCCGCGCTGGGGAAACCCAAAATGCTGGCATCCTCCCCATGGTCACGGCGCAGCGCGACCGCTTCAAGGCCAAAAACATCCAACTGGAAGGCGACCTCTCGCGCGTGCGTACCACGGTCTCAAACCTCCGACAAGAGGTCGCCTCACTGCAAAGGGACAACCTGCAACTCTACGAGAAGACCCGCTACATTCAATCGTACCGCCAACCCCCAGCATTAAGCACCACCAACACCGCCGCCAGCTCCGGGTTCGGCGCAAACATGAACCCGTCCTCCACCCTCCACCCGTCCAATGCCTCCTCGTCGGGCACCATAGACAGGTACAGGCAAGCTTACGAGTCGAATATATCCCCCTTCGAGGCTTTCCGCGGACGCGAGACAGCCAGGGCGTTTCACCGCATGGGCATGCTCGAGAGGATGATCTACTCGTTGACGAGGGTTGTTTTGGCAAACCGGCTGAGCAGGAATTTGTTTGCCGGGTACTGTCTTGCGCTGCATGTTCTTGTGTTCTGCGTCGTTTGGTATTCGATGATTACTGGGGTGGATAGGCGTGGTGCTGCTGGGATGGCGGCTGCTGCGGGGGCTGCGGGGGCGGGGATTAATGTTGGTGGCGGCAATGGGGGGCGTCGGGGCGGGGGCGTTTGACGACGTTGAGTAAGTTAGTAGATGGGTAGTAGATTTGAGATGTGAGTGGCAAGGACGGGAGAGATGGGGAAACGGAGGGTGGGGTTTCTTCTTTGCTATATTTTGCTATACTTTGCTTTGTATGTGTATAATGTCTTCATCGGTAGCGGTGGCTTTGGGGTCGTTTCGTTCTTGTCCATAGGGGTGGGCAATTGACGTACCGTACTGTGATCGCTGGAAATGACTTCTTTATTCCTTTTTTTTCTTAGGAGCACAAAGCAAAACACAACCATTGTAGTGTATTCAATCCATCATGACGCTATGGCAATGAGAGGGTATCTAAATCACGATAGAAAAGCTGACCAAGAAGAAAAAAGAGACTCGACGTCGTGTATCCCCCCCCCAACTTCCCCTTCCACCCTTACACGGACAAAACAGACAAAGACAGAAAAGAACAAAAACTCCACCAGCATGCATCAACAACAAAAGAAAGCTATCATACTATTCCTCCGTGCTCATCAAATCCCCCCACCGGCAATTCCGGCAGCCTCAAACTTCTCCATCGCCTCCTCATCGCTGGAAACACTCCCGCTACTCCCACCGTAGTCATCGTCGAAAAAGACCCTTTCATGGTTCTCCATTTCCTCCAGTACGCTAGTGTTGCTATGATTCCCGTCCACGTTGGTTGAGCGCCCAGTGGGGGACGGCCAGTGGAACCAGTTGAAGCTTTTCTTCTCCTGCCCCTTCTCCTCCCCCCGAGGAGAAGGAAGAGGAAGAGGCGATGGTTTCCTCCCTCGCACCTGACCCCCAGCGACAAGCTCCGCCTTCCCAGCACCACGTGTGATCCTCCGCCCCCGCTCAACAACCCTCTCAACCGCCAACCTATTCCTGACAAACTCCAGTTTCGGAAAGGTACACCTCTGCCCGACCTCCAGCATCCTGCGCAATCTCTCCACCGTCGGGTCCGAGAGTATGTACCAGAAATCGCTCACCCTCGTTCTCGGCCAGATTGTGATGTTCCCGTCGAACTTTTGTAGGAAAACGCTGCTCCAGTCCTGACTCAACGGTCTTGGCAATAACTCCAAGTGTCGGAGGACTTTTAACCATTTCGCCATGTCGAGTTTTAGGTATTGCTCTAACGCGGAACCCAAGAAACCTCCGCGCCAGCCTTTTCCTTTCCGGTGGGTCACTGGACGACCGACAGAGCCGCGGGGCGAGAAGAAGAAGATGTTCACGTGTGGGTTTACCTGCGAGACTATGCTGAAGGTTACGTTGAAGTGCGTGTTTAGCGCGCGGAGTGGGATGTCTGTGCGGAGTGAGCCGTCTTTCCATTTGTGGCCGAAGGAGAAGGGGGTTATTGTGAAGGGGTGGTGCGGGGTTTTGGTCATTAGGACTACGGGGTTGAGGATGCCCGGGACAGCGGCAGAGGCGAGGACTGCGGAGAAGATACAACAGTCTGGGGCTGTGAGGTAGTTTAGGAGGAGGGAGGGGCTATGTGGGGGGGTTATGTTAGTTTGGGTGATGAAATCCGGGAGGGAGTTTGGGGGGGGACGAACGAGTGGGGATCGGAGGGTATGCATGAAATGTTTAGGATTCGTCCTGTGCGTTCGTAGGCTTCTTTGAAGGTTAGACTTCCACGCGTGAACCAGCAGAGGCGTCGGGCCCAGTCTACGCTGTCGAAGCGCGCGCCGGTCTTCCACCAGCGGCGGAGCCAGGTCTGTTGTGCGTTTGTTAGTTATTGTGGATGGGGGGGAGGGAGAGGGAGGGCTGAACGTACAAGCGTGTCGTCATGGCATGCAGTGATTTTCAGGGCGAGCGCTGGGACAAGCAGCTTTTTTAGTTCCTCGTCTGTTCGAGTGCAGACTAATGCCGCGACAAGTGCTCCCCCAGACGTTCCTGTAATGACGGTTGGAAGGAGGCCGGCATCTAGATGTGCCTTTACGACACCAAAGTGATAATAGCTAGAGTAGGTTTGTAAGCGATATTTCGTGAGCGAGTGCCTGAGCAGGGGCATCATACGCAAAGCTAGCACCACCAGATAAGCATAGAGCCGTCCGCCCATAGTTGCTAGACAGATGCTTGAACAGCACTCTCTTCTCTTCCATGTCCAAGGAATTCGTCTCGAGCAAGAACTTTAAGCTCTTTTCAACTACCGGTACTCTATGTTAGAGCTTGGAAGTGAAGAATGAGTGCAATGATCCAAACATACGTTCCCGAATAAACTCCTGGACTCGATCTTTGGTCCCGTAGTACGTCTGCGAGTACATCCTAAAGCTCTCGATCCCGGCAAAATTACTCTTAACGCAAGCCTTCACGAGCTCCCTAAGCTCATCCACAGCTCTATTCCCGCCGGTCGTATTATCGCCACCACTAACACAACCATTCTCCTCCAAGTTCCGCCGACTATTCCCATTTACCGTACCCCCCGCTCGCTCCTCTTCTTCGGCTTTCTGTCGAAGACGACATATATTTGCCACAGCCTTCCTGATCGTCGAGTAGTCGTAGTAAGCAAACGCGTCTTCAGCCTTCCAAGTGTCAGCACCGAGATAGCTATCCAGCTCCTTGGCGGCAAGTTTCCACTCCTCGTAAGTCTTTGTCGAGCGGAGCTTTCGGCGAAGGCGTTCTCGTCGCCCGCGCCAGGTTACCCAGTACTCGTATTGGGAGACGTAGAAGCGGGTCATCGTGTAGAGGATTCTGGCAATGCCCCATGGCCAAGTGAGTAAGTAAGCACTTGAGGGAGGGGGGGGGGAGACCTACGAAAGAATAAGGATCCAGGCAAACACAATCGTCAATAACGGCCATTTGAGCAACTGGTAGACGAAGCCTTCCCTCGTCTCGTCCTTTCCTCTCCTGGGTCGCATTTTCGGCCGCTTTCGTCGGATCCGCTGCTTGATTGGCTTCCAGTCGTTCAAGGCGGTGATAAAGTCCTCGTCTGTGGCATCGGGTGCATTGATGGCTCTTTCGAAGGCGGCGATGTCTAGAGGAGAGCGTTAGGCTTAAGGGGGATAGAGGTGGGGGGGGACGAGCCTACCGGCTTCGTTAACAAAGTCTGTATCAAAGTTTGGTAGCCCCTCTTCTCCTCCCCTCTCCTGCTTCCGCCGCCTCGGCTCGTTGGACCTGTCCCAGCCCGCCATCCTGATCAACGTTGCCGTAGCAACTCACTCGCCCACTCACTCAATTCACTCACTCGTGCTATCGTCAAGGCTGCGGTGAATCGGAACCTCAAAGGCTATTCGCAGACTGGGAACTACAGTAAAAGAGGTTCCCCGCAAGTTCCAGATGTCAGGGAAGGAGAGGAGGTGCAGGGGAGGGAAATGTTGAGCTCCTAGTTTTGCGTCACTCGCGTGACCACCCCCCAGAACCTAGCCGGTCCCCGCTCTTGTCACCCACTTTTTTTTTTTCCTTTTTTTTGGATTGCGGTAGGACGGCGATCAGCCGGAGATTTTGGTTGTTTCATTGGGGAATGGAAAGGGTTGGTTACTCAGCAGAGGTTTCTTTTTCTTCGAGGTACCCCTTGTCGGTGACAATCCCTGATACAGAGATCCCATGGAATCCGCAGGTTACTGGAGTACTGTACAGTACCAGTACTGAAACGTTTATCTACGAGTACCGGAGTACAGTAATCGAGCCTCGCGCTACGATGTCTAAAGTTCCCTCTCTTGGATAAGGGGGATAAAAACGCTGCGAAAACTGATCCATTCAGCCTCAGCTTAGGGCAGGGAAAAGAGCAAAAAGGTGTCGCACCTTTACCAACTCTAACGTCCGAGCGCGAGATTCGATTCTTCCGTGTTTCTAACCCCGGTTTTCGGGAGGTTTTTTTATTTCTATTTTTATTTTCACCGCAAGCTGTATCTCTACTCGAGTACAGTGGGGGGATCTGGGCGGAAAGGTACCAGTACGAGTACTGGCAGATGCCGGACTTGGTACAAGTAGACTGCCGTATTGTACGATATGAGATCAATATGGCACCTTACGGTAGGCTTATTGGGGCTAGAGTGAATCTGGGGCCGAGACAGGGCCCAACTTAAACGTTACCCTGTCTGAGGTTGGTGGACCCTGGAGGATAATAAGGACTGTTGCGCCCCATGGCACCACAGCTACTCGTACTGTACCTGTACTGTACATGGTATTGTTCAACGATTTACCCAATGCCGTGGCGGTGCGCCATACAAATACAGTTACACCACTGGGTCAAATTTATATAAGTTCTCGTACGGTACATGTTCGAGTGCTGCACTGATGATATGGTACCCGGGCATTGGTAGGGTGCTGGCGTTGTATGATATGGTGCTCTACGGCGGAATTGCCGGTATTCCCCTTGTGCCCAGCCTACGAGCCACAAATGGGCAGCCACACTCATCCCGCACACCCGTACTGTACGAGCACAGAATATCATACTTACACCGGTATTTATTATAATCGGGATAGCGAATTATCTAGCGGGATCCGCATGCCGCCGGCACATTGAAAGGATACCGTAAAAACTCGTCAGATCCGGACCCGCGCCCAAACCTCGAAATCACAGACGAACACCCCGAGAAGGAATACCGGTAGTGTTTTCTAGACACGGTACAGCTCGGGATAGGTGAACTTCGTACATCTTATTAACTGGTGCTTGGGCTCGAATTAGGTTATCGTGCGAATCTTGTTGGGTGATGCGGTGTCTATTGTCGTGGTTCTGTGGCCATGTTTCGACGGATGGTGTGCGAGTGCAGTAGGGGCCATTCTACACGCTGGTCTGTACCCGTACTAATCCTAGCCTATTCCCGTCTACTGGAATGGCCTGACTGCCCTTGGTAGGCTTCGTGCCGGTGGTAGCGACCGCGTAAAAGCTGCGATATGGTCGATGCATTACATAGCTTTTTCCGTTAACAATACCACACAGTACTGTACTCGAGCATCGCAAGGAAATCGAACCTTTCTAGCCCCTGGCTAAACTTTGAGCTACCAGTACTGCCGGTATATGGTATGGGAGCTGGCAGCTGGTCAACGGGCGAGATACGGATGCGTGTGCACGGATGCTAGATGCTGGGGCTTTGTATCCTGCAGGCTGCTTCCACAGTTCTACTGGCACTCTGGCTGTTAGAGGCCTCTTTACTGAAAGTCGGGTTTTCCCCGTTATGGAAATTGATCCTCTGCTGAGAAATTTTTCAAAAAAAAAAAAAAAAAAAAAGTCACCCCTCCAAGTTGAGCCGATTTACCGGTATTGCTGATGGGTGTCGGATTCACAATTGGTACTGTACAGTACAGTATGATACTGGTAAGTGTTGCGCCGTGCCCTAGCTATATCCAGTAATATGAAGGACCCAAAAGTTCCACAACAGCGCGCACATCTCAACACTAACAAACTAAACTCTCCGAACCAGGGGGCTCGGAATTCCGTGACCTAGAAGCTTCTGGCGTCTTGGGCCAATTTTTCTCCGTCGTTCATTTGTCATCTCTATCCCCAAGGGATAATAAAGCAGGTTCCCCGAGCGGTGGCGCGTCGGAATTCCTTGCGTAACGGGGAGAACGAGGGAGAGCAAAGGGGACGAAGGAATACCGATATCATCCGATGGCACAATCGTGGGCCGCTCAATCCTCCTCCTCCTCACAATCTAATAACTCTGCCGCTGCCCCCTCACCCCACACTGCTGCTGCCCATCGCCCGAAAAGTACAAATACCGATAATGTGCAGAGTGCGCCGTCTCCGTCGGTATTGTTTAAGTGTTCGGTGTGCGACAAGGGGTTTGAACAAAGTGGGTTTTTCCCTTTTTTTCTCCTTTTTGTTTCCTTCCATTTTATGCTAGGCGTGCCGCATATTTGATGCAGCCCACACTTGCATACCCGGTGCATGTGGGGGAGGAAGGAGGGGAGGGGGTCCCTGCACAGTCGGTGCGCCCGTACGATGTGGTGGTAAGGGAAGAAGGAAGGAAGGGTAAACTGGCTGACTGGTTATATCTGTGTCACTTTTTTTCGTCTGGACAGGATCATCACGCGATAGACACCAACGACGATGTCGGCAGAAGCAGATATCCGGGACCATTCCCAGGAAGAAGAGCTGTGCACTATGCACCCAAGCAAAGACCAGATGTGATCTATTAACGCCATCCTGCTCAAGATGTAGGAATAAGGGCCTTGACTGTCACTACTACCACCAACCACCCCCGCAACACTCCCACTCCCATCACTATGCAACAGCGACAACCCCTCTTCGCACAACAGAACTAGTCCACCGCCGCTCTCCCGTCCGCCTTTCGGAAGAAGTCTCCCTCCCAACCCCAGCATGCACGGACAACGGCCTTCCAGACGAATTCTCGGATGGGAGTCTCCGGCACACCGGTAATCATAGAAGCGGCAGTAGCAATAACGGAATTGGGGATGTGGAGATAACGGACTGGGGCGACATAAATCACAACTTCCTAGAGTGGAATATATTCGCCGGATCAACCGGGGACATGGAACTCCATAACGTATGCCCAATCGGGAGTGAAAGCCCCGTATCCCCTCAGGGTGCCTACCAACACCTTTACAATCCGAACCACCTTGGAAACCCCATGGATCAGCAGATGCGCCTCGCGCCGCGGCAGCTATCCATCGAGTCGTTCAAGCAGATGCGGAAGATCCTTGTCGAGAACGCGCCCGCCCCGGGCCCCAAGAACAAGTTCATCTTCATAGATAGGGTGTGTAGGGGGTATCCGAAGATGATGACTGGTAGGAATGGACCCCCACCGTTTATACACTCATCCCATCTGATCCCTGGGAGGATGACGAGCGCGTTGGCGAATTGTCGGGGGTTGGTGGATATGTATAAGGCCATGACACCAGATAATAAGTCGTTCGTTATGAAGTCTATTGCGACCGAGCATGGGAGGATATTGGCTGAGGCGGAGGTTCGCATTTCTCCTTATGACTGCTTTTGTGATATTATGGGGAAGGGTGGGAATCTGACATGAGATTTTTCTACTCGTTAGCATGTGCGAGTGAATGAGGTGGAGAAAATAGGTGTGCTACAGGCCGCGCTTATATATGGGATAATTCGACATTTCGAGAATGATCCGACATTTGATAGAGCTGCTATGGTTTCCATGGAAGTACGCGCACATGTCCCTCAGGCACCCATAACCCCAAGAGCTAACGACCCCTCCAGACGATGGCGGTAAACGTCGGCGTAGCCAGCCTCATCGCAAAAGGCGAACTTGAGGGCGTGAGACCAGTCTGGGAAGACTGGATCATAGCGGAATCCAAACGCCGGTTCGCACCTCCCCACCTCCGCCTTTCATCCTCTTCCCCTTACTAACTAATTTTGACAGAACTATGATAACCCTCTACATGCTCGATGGCTCCTTCCACTACGCCCACAACATCCCAACCTTCACTTGCGGCGAACTCAACGAGATACTCCTCCCGACCCCGACAATCCTCTGGCAATCGCGCGAGCGCTCCAAATGGGAGTACGAGTACGAGAACTACCTCTCCGACCTTCGCGGTAGGCGACTGCCCAAGATGGCAGACATATTGTCGACCGAACCAAAGTATCTCAACATCGAGGAGTGGATTGGCGGGATGGATAACTTTGGCGTCACGGTTTTGGCTATGGTGGAGAATTGTCGGGAGGATGTGCCGGATGCGGTTGAGGATGGGGGTAGAGTTTAGATTAGAGGGAGAAGAAGGCTTTCTGTTTTGGATATGTGTGCTTCCGGGTTAGCTGTCGCTCTATACCAAGATCTCGACACTACATTGTTTACGTACTTATTTTTCTGGATCGTCGGTGTTTGGGATTTCGGTATTATTGTTAGGGATTATCTTTTTTTTTTTTTTCTTTCTTTCCTTCCAATTTTTCACTTTTGTTAACAGTAGTAATTGGCCGTATTGGATCAACTCATTCCCTCACAAGTTAGAGACAACTCTTTGCTATACAGTGCTTGAGGAAGGAAAAAGCGAGAAAATTGGGAGCCCGCCGGAATCATGGTGGTATCTTACATCCCCCCGACCGGAGCACCTTGGTATCCATACATGATCCCTGGCCGCCGGGGGCGTAGCCCCCGCTGACTGGATGGCGCTTATAAGCACGGCAGAGCATAGCGCTATACAACAGCCCTATTTCATTTTACTTTGCGAAAATGCCTAAATAGATCTATCTACTGGCCAGCGGTCAAGCCATCGCCAGCTGCCCGAGTGATGATTCGTGCAGGAGGCAGGAATTTGGCGAAGTCGGGCTTGCATACTTACAGCGTGACCTATATCACAACGCGGGTTGGTTTTTGGCTTCTCGCTACTCCATCCAGATACCCGTAATCCAACCGGGAATAATAATAATTTTTCCTCTGTGGGGGAGTAAGTAGGCGTCCGTAGTAAACTTGCAAAGAAGCGCTGACCCGATCATTTCTCGGCTGTGGTGTGTTTTGCTTGTTTGTTCGTTCCTTTATGGATGGGAAGGGTGCTGTACGAGTATCATACCCCGGGAAGGTATTGATTGTAATTTTGAGGGGGTGGTGGTGGAGCAGTTGGGATTTAGATATTATAGTATAATCAAGGTCTGCGTGACTGGTGCTCCCGCGGTATCGTATCCTGCCGGTATCATAGTCAGATGTGTGTATGACACCACGCAGCATCACGGACTATCCGACCGGTTAGTGGATTTTACGCGGTACCGGTATGATACGACGAATCACGTTGTGCCAAGTTCGACATTTGATGTGTCTGTCATAATATTATTATTTATACTGTTTCATTCAACACATTTCGTCGGATCACGTGCGAAAAACGGCGTGGGACTTTTATGATAGCTAAAATTGATATGCCCCATAACGAAAAATTTATGCAAGGGAGGAAGGAAGGTACAATACACTGCTTTCTCAAAGGTTCCCCCACTTCCTCCAGATAGGAGTAGAACCAGATGGTTTCTCCAACCATCCAATCTATCATGCGCATCCTACCTGCGGTGACTTTTGGGTGTGAATACCTTTCCCTCAATGTATGGGATGGATAAATATTGTGAAAAACGGTTGTCCTGGTATTTAGATATATTTGGTTGTTTTTGTAATATGCAAAGGCGGATCTTGGTGAATTTCGACCGTAATGGTGGTATGAGAAAGTTAGTGGTGTGATTGCTTAGAAATCATCCCCGGAAGGATTCTGGCGATTTTGCAAAGGTGTGTACTGTATAGCATAGAGATTAATTCCATACATTTTTTGTTATTCTCCCCTGTGCCTGGTCTGGCGTTTTCTATTCAAACCTTTCCGGCTGTTTTGAGGGGCGCCCTGTCACATAGACGCTGATATACACTCATCCGTCCCCCCCACAACCAATGTTGCCATGAGAAAGAGGGGGAAGAGGAAAAACACGGTACTACCATATCTAGAGAAGAGATTATTAAAAGGGGGTTCGATCCCGACTCAGGCCCGTGCCGCCTCGTGGTCTCCGCCGACTGCTCGTTCTCTGGCCTCGTGTGCCAAGAACAATTCGATAATTTTCTTATACCCTTTTCTTCCTCCCGTGAGTTCGAGTGCGGTTTCACCTGACGAATTCCGAAGGTTGGTATCAATCCCCCTCTTGTGTAGCAGCGCCTTCACCGCAGCATAACGCCTGCAAAGCACCGCGGTATGTAGCGGCGTGTAGCCGGAATCCTCCTGGACATTGATTAGAATGTCGTCCCTGTCCAACAACGCCTTGGGGGCCACATACCCGCCACTCGCAATAGCGATATGCAATGGCGTGTGTCCCCACAGCCCCCGGGCATTAACATCAACCCGCCGATCAGCGAGCAACATCATTAGCACCTGATACCCGTCAGGGAGTCCGGTACCTGCCGCGGCGGTATGCAATGGCGCATCCCGATAAGTCATATTCAGACACCCAAGGTTAACATCGATCCTGTCATCGGTCAACAACATTCGAACAACATCCACATCCCCCGCCGCGACAGCGGTGTGGAGCGGTGTGCGTGGCACTGCGCCCCCGCACGGGAGATTAAGGTCTAGGCGCCGATCCTTCAGCAACAGCCTGACGACCTCATTGTGTCCGTTGTAGACAGCATCGAACAGCGGCGTACCATACTGGACCTTACCGGGGTCCAACGGTGACGGGTACGGGAACAGGTTGCGCGTGTTCGGATCTACGTCCGACCTCCCCACAAGTTGCGCGACTAGGCGAACTTCGCCGCTAGCTGCGGCGAAGTGCAAGGGTGTGCATTGTATGGTAGTGCCGCGGCAGTCGGCGTTGGCACCGTTGTTCAGCAGGGTTGTTACGATGTGCAGGTTCTTGGTCTGGACGGCTTGGAGGAGTACATTACCGTAGCCTCCCTCGATTCGGGAAAGTATTGTGAGGATTCGGCGGACTGTGGGGTTGTCCCCGCCCCGGGTGCCCGGCGTTGGGTCTTGGGGTGATGGCTCGTCGGAGTGTAATGTCGGTGGAGGATGTGGCCCACTGCCCTTGGTACACGCGAAGAATAGTGCCCGCGGACACCATATAGGATCCTCAGCTACCTTGTCTATGAGCTGTGTGGAAAGGAGTGACCCCAGACGCCGGGTGGTTCCCCGAAGGTGTAGGACATCACGCCAGCTGAGATCTGTTGATATCTGAAGGATTAATTCGTTGGGGAGGTCGAGGAGGGACATGTTGCGAAATGATGATAACACGTGGTGCTGGTCAGTTTCAGCTGAATTAGTCTGGTCTGTCGTTGAGGTAAAGTTAGCGACATGTGCGGCCCAAGCGCTTATCTGCTTCAGATCAGGTATGGTGCCGGCATCTTGGAACTTACCGTTACCCACGACACCCAACTTTGATGAATATATCAACTTGCAACAACGACACCTACAAATAGAGTTTTTAAAATCCCTTCTGTAGAGTTTCCCTAGGCGGTTATTGGAATATATTTATAGGGTGATTTTCTTTTTAGTCCTCCGATTGGCGTCGTACCGGTAGATAAATACCTTCAAAATTTGTATGGGAAGGAGGATAGTGGGACTCTCTGATTAGGTATTGAAGGCGGAAACCACGGCCTCAAGAAAGAGAGAAAAAAGGGGCGGTTCGAGATAAGGTTGTGCAAGAAAGAAAAGAGGGAAAGGAGAAAAGATGCAAGCAGGCACTGAGAAAACATGGGGGAAGACCATCCTTATATACACTTTCTGAATACTTTCCCCCACAAACCTGCAAAGCAACCCAACAGTCACCAATCCTATACCCTACGGTATCTAACAAACACTCGCCACTAAAGTATCATAATAATATTATTATCATATGGTAATATCATATATAAGTAAGGGCATGGCCAAAACCTACAATCAAGGTTTTAAACCCCACAGAGTGATGTATCATATCATATCACAGTCTATTATCACATCATACTATGATACCGTGTTAGGACTATGATAGTGTTCTCAATTCGCTTTGGAGCACGGGGTCGAATTATTCATGACCGTGACGGGCTGACCTGATCTGGCATATCATACCGGTACCATGGTTTAGGACGAATGTTTTGTGATCGAAGGGCAGAGATTCTTAGCAGCATAACAGAAGCTCCATAGAACACAAAAACCCCCACTGGACCACCGCACACTAACACCCCCACAATTCCCCTCCTATACATGCGTTAAGATGAAGAAACAGAGTTGCTACAGCGGCTATCTATGGCGGCGCACCGAACCGCTGGACGAGATCCGCGCACGGCGATTCCCCATGAAGTGTCCTAGTATTAATGTGTATGCACTCGAGCAACCATACCGACAATTACATGAAAAACCAAATATGCAACTTCCACCCATATTTGGGGACACCGGGAGCGGTATCTGGCCTGCGGTGATTTAGGAGGTTCACCCTGTCCTCTGTATGGATTAGGTCTTGATGAAGGAATATCTTACACGGCGAATACAACTTGGAGAAGATAGTTTTGGAGAATATGAGGTTGCAAGCAATAACACTACCGTGGGGCGAGAGGTATGGGGGTGCCGTAATGCCCATCTTGAAAGTTGGGATCCGAGGATTTCCCATTCCAATCACAGTGCCGCGGGGTGGTTATGAGGTGAGCTGTATGTATTATTATAGAGCGGTTCACGAATCGCCGATTGCAGAAGGAAGAAATGCTTGTATTTCGTCGTTGTTTCGGAACACGAGCATGGTTTTGACTATTCGCACTCCGTTGCACTGTACAAGTACTGTACAGGGCAACGAGACTGCTGGCAGAGTGACAAAATCCTGAAGGAGAGAAAAAATCCACAATCGAGTGATAATTGAGCAGTGATAACCAGATCTAAGCGAAGGGTAGAGTAGCAAATAGAAGACGCGAGGAGTGACCTAAAATTTCAATAAACAGCTTGATAGTAGTACTCAATCTACGATTTTCTTTTCCTGTTATTTACCAGGCCCACCTGAAGTCCTAAAGATCCGCTAGCGACAATCGATAAGAATCTCGAGCGAGTGTGATTGAGGCTCTGGCAATGAGGGGAAGATTGGGAGGGCAGAGAGGGGGAGGAATGCCCTACTCTAGTAGAAACCCCAATAATCGGTCCTTCAATCTGCCATTGTACTATGTCATTGGAGTTGCCTTTGGTAAGGTCTGGTCTCGGAGACGCTGAGTTTTTCGCCCCTGTTCCGGGTAGGGAATTTTCGACGACATACAGCACATAAAAAATTGGTTTCTACAGCATTTGAACCGCGCTCCTGCCAGGTGGATCACTTAAAGTATTAACCGCACCTTGAACAGTTGCGATGCGAGGGTCTAGGCAAGAACACAACATATATATCCTCCGTGTAAGCTAGGGATTTTGAAATTTCCTCCCAATCCGAAAACACCGAAAATACAGGACGGGGGGGTGTATTTCTGCGTTTCTTCGGCAAACCCTAAGAAATTGTCCGGTGTGGCGAATCCAGTGGAGAGAAA